AAGCGCGCAAACACGCAAACACACCCACACACACACATACACACAACAACTCCGCCTAACTCCACCCAATTCCAACGTCTCCCTCTCATCCAATTCCTTCCCGTCGCAACACGGATACTTTTCAATTTTTAAATTTTGTACCAAGTTTTATTCATTTTGTTTCGCTTTTCAAAGTACATTGAATTTAATGCTCCTTAATGCGAGCTCGTCCTTACTGATGAAGACGATCATAATTGTTACGAACCGTGCACATTCGCACATAAGAATTTATTCTTTTTTCCTTGATTTCCGACTCAATATAACTTTGAAAATATTGCAAAATTAAGAAAACTGTTACGTAAATATTACTTTTGTATAACTATACATTAACTAAAATTAGTATATAAAAAATTTAAAACAAAAAAATACAAAAACAAAAAAAAAAAACAAAAAAAAATTACAAATTCCCTCTTAGTGAAAGATAACTTTTTTTTTGTTCTAGTAGGGCATTTTCAAATATGTTACGCCGTTAGTGCAATAAAAACATAGATGAAAACATTGTAATGATCCTTTACATCGGATAGTTTATAAAACACTTTCTCAACATTTTCTTAAAGTATTTTTGCGGCAAATGAATACATCTGTTACTGAACGTTAAACGTATTGTTATTACACTGTGTAATCTATAACCATTAAAGCCAGTTGCGCAATCTTTGATGTAGTAAATTAATTTTCGTTTCGTTTACACGTACCTGGATAATGTAATGAATGACAACAAAACAAAACAAAAAAACAAAAAAAAAAACAAAAAGAAAATTAGAAATTTGATTTTCCAATAACCTAATTTCGATTTATATTATGTTTGGACACTAGTTAACATTAGATGAACCAACTGGCTGAAATAAAAGCAAAATCATTGTTGAAAATAAGTAAAACCGAGATTACAAAAATTCTTTATCCAATACAGCAGTGATAAAGCTTTTAATATTTGAAAAAGAATATTGACTTGTGCAGCAGTTAGTGAATAACACTAATTTTGTTATAGAAATCATTTATACACGCGAATGTGAAATAATAAAATATTTTAATTTAAAACAATAATCCTAGTAACATTTTGTATTTACCTTGTTAAACCAGATTTTTATCCTAGTTTAAAATTAGTAAGAACATTTAAAAATAATTTTACAAAGTTTTTTACAATAACATCTTAACAATTACAAATAGTAAGTTGCAACCGTTTTTATGTTGCTTTAATATATATATATATATGTTTTCAAAATACAATCCAACAGAAATGAACTATCTTTGTACATTATTCATAATTTGTCATTAATTAGTTATGTTCTTAATTTTTTATCAAGTATCTGAAATAAGAGAATAAAAGATTAATAATAATATCGCAAATGACGTTACGTAAAAGGAAAGCTTTACTTAGCTGTACTAACCTCGGTAAGTTGTTGCCATTCGTCTTCAGATAGCGCGTGCTTTATCTTTATCAATATATTTGAGGGAATATCGGGAATACTAGGACCTATGTTAGTCTGCAGGTAAGGAATCTTTAAAAGATCGGCCACCGTAGGTCTGACTTTAGGATTACGCTGAAGACATTTACGCATCACGTCAATCAAAATTGACGGCACAGGCTCTGATCCAGTCCTCAAAGGAAAATTTATCTTGTGTTTTGGATCCGTAATAGCACTTATCTTTGCCCACTGCTGACGAATATGATTGAACGGTGTAACACCATAGACTAGTCCATATAAAATGCAGCCCAATGACCACACATCCGATTTATAACTTATCTGCAATTATCGTTTCAGTGTACATGTGCGTATAAGCCAAAATTGTTTGTTATTTTATATATTTACTTACTTTAAATTTTACATTATGATTGGGAGAATCGTTAACACCAGCATTTATATCCATTAATGCTTCAGGACTAATATAATTTATCGTACCAATTGGACAATTTTTTACTACAGATGTCATATCAGAATTTATATTTGATGCAATACCAAAATCTATTAATTTTAATCTGCCCCTTACCAATAAAAAATTGGCTGGTTTTAAATCCGAATGGATGACTCCTGTTAGTAAAATAATTTAAGAAATAAATCAACATTCTCGAGTGTATATTAAATCAATATACGATACATTTATATATTACCATTATCGTGTATATGTTTTACCGCTGTTAGCATTTCAGTCCAATAATAAAGTATCATTGATAAAGGTAATTGCTTCTTTTCATGTAACATTGATTTCAATAAACGACTTAAGTCTGTATCTCCTATTTCCATTACAACATGAACCCATGGCTGTTTAATTTCACTGTAAAAATATATTTAGTAAATAACATTGGTAGTATGTATACATATATTCGTATATATTACCTTATAATATAAACAATTCTTAATTTACAGATACCAGAAGTATAATAATAAGGATAGAAACAATATAAAATCTTTACTTACAAATCGTACATGTGAACGATACATGGTGCTTTTAACTTTTCAAGCATACAAATTTCTTGTAAGCACCCTTGTGCTGAATCTTTATCCATTTTACTGAGATTAACACATTTGATGGCTCGCAATTCTGAAGTAGATAAATTTTGTGCTCTAACAACTTCGCAACTCATTCCTTGACCAATGACACCCAATACTAAATATTGTTGATCTATCACTGTAATCATTTTATTCTGTCTTGTATTCCATACATTAGGCTTTTGTGACACCGAGCACTGAATTGTTGATATTTGTTCAGATTGTGGATGTACACTTTTATTTTCTCTAGCTTGATAATTTTCATAATTTTCTGCTGATCTCGAAGCTTGCATATTTTTATGATAAGCATTATTATGATACTCTACATGTGATTTATTGTCAATATGTGAATTTAAAGAATGTTTATCGCCTTTTGCAGCATCGTGCATATTTGGATTCCAATTTTCTTTAGATTCATTAGACGCGTGCGATAAATTACACGAACTGTATAAAGGTTTCATTTCTGACGCGCATTCCGAAGTTACTAAATTTACATTATCTTTTGTCACCGTAAGATTTGAATGAGATTCATTCGGGACTTCTTGTAATTTTGGAAGTTGAGGTCCGTGAACCGAACCGGAATACACTGTTTCTGCTAATGGTCTTCGAACACTTTTACCATCGCTAAAATACCTGTCAATATCAATAATTATAAATAATTGAAAGAAATTATAAAATAAATGGACAATTGGTATATTCACCAATTGATAATTGTTCCAATTGTTATACCAAATTTTATACAATTGCTAATTGTATAAATGTATTACTTAAATATTTTTTCAATTTTTTAAATTTAATATTTTCTTCATTTTTTAATTATATAAATAATATAATTTAATTATTTAATATATATTAATGAAATTGAAAATTTCATAACATTAAAAGTAATGTTCTATAGGATAAAATATTTGTTATGAATTCTTTTTCTACATTTAAATCTGTTTAAATTTTTCTCGCTTATTAATAGTATGGTTGATACACACCTTGGTGTTTCGTGTCTAATACTTTGCGACTGTCCTGAAATATTTGTTACAGGAGTTTGAACAGTTTCCCGTGTCACGGAAGCTTTGTTTTGCATTGGGGTTTGAGTCATATGTTGCTGAGACCAAAGTGAAAATATGGTAGCTGGAGTTTGTATTGGATTTTTGGCATAGTCATTACCAATCTTATTTTGAGGAGTTTGAAAAATGTTTCTATGAGAGTGACATGGATTTGGTCTTACTGAACTATGTGGTTGTTTCATTGGTGTATCAATTACACTGATAGTTGTATTGGATATCGAATTAGAATTATTAGATATAACATTATTTCCTTGATCCGTTTGCATTATCGATGATGCCAAAGCTTTATCATCGTTTTCTTTATTAATAATATGTGATTTATTCTGGCTTGTGGAAAAGTATTCATTATCCTTTATATCATTGAAGGATTCAAAATACTGCATAGATTTATCTTTAACGTCATTTACTTGATTGGTAACATAAAAAGAAGATTTTATATCGGGAGAGTACGATTTTAGTTTTATATTTGACTCGCTCTGGCCTTTCACTGGTAATGATTTTCTCTTATTTAAAATTCCAGTACACTTTGACTGCCACTGTAACTGATGTAAGCTATCTTGATCAGTTAAATTTTTACCACTTTTATGCTTAGTAAGTTTATCTAAACATAATTTTTCTTCATCAGTTTTTTTATTTGAATATTCATTTTTTTGCAAAGAATCATTTCTGTAAGAATTCAGAATTGATTTTTGTTTAAGTTCATTTTCTTTAATATTGTTATCACTTGGTTTTTTCAAATCAATATTTTCAATAACTTTATTATTATCATATTTAACTGATATCGTAGTGCCATCAACGGCAGAAACTCCTTCATTTTGTGTAGCAATATTTATTTTAATATTTGTATTACTTAATAATGTTTTAGAATTCACTTCGTTGCTGCTCTCATCAGGTAATGGTTGAAAACTGTCAAAATCATCACAGTCTTCATCTGAATTGTCAGAATTTGGAATTTGATCATCGCTGTCATCATCACTTACATCTGCCAACAGTTTCTTCACTAATACAGGCTTAAATTTTGGTCTTGATTCAGACAAACGACTGACATTGGAACTGTCAGTCAATCCTTCTTTTTCATGAAAGGATTGTTCTTCCATATTAAATAAATTAATTTCCTAAAACATAAAAATACAATAATTATTTGATGATTCTCAAGAACAAAGAATTACAAAGAAGAGTAAAAAACTATATTGCCCGTACTTGTAAAATATTTTAGAGGTAATGATAATGTTCTCGATACTTCGAGAATAATTTTAATAATTTATAAAATGAAGGACATATAAAAACTTTAAAAAATTATATGTCACCATTTAAAGCATTCTTTTCTGCACAATACTATCATTTTGTACACACCTGTCAATTATACAATATTTGTTCTATTAAAAGATCTCCATAAAGAGGAAGAAATTTGAGATTTAGATTTAAAGAACGTAAACACAAAGTTTTAAATTACACATTTTTTTTTTTGTAACTGACAACTTTCAATGATTACAGATTTCGTTAAGATGAAAGTTTTTTTATACAATAAATAAATCAGTATCTTATTCGTCTACCGGTTCTTTGTCTTTCGGAGCGAAATTTGAAAACTAAAGCGTCGCTCCCATTTGCTAAAATCCAACGACGCCAGAGCCTCTTATGAAAATTTGAAACTTGATAGTAAACTTTTTTTTTTGTAATACTTGACTATGTAGCGGCGCGGGTGGGGAGGGGGGGGGGTAGCAATATTACAATAGCTACGACTCCATTCATAGTTTTGTAGTATTAACTAACTACCACTATGAATAGATGAATGCTAAGAAAAAGCCAGAATGAAGAAATTAGAACTTTCATTATGCTTGTTTATTCCTAATGAAGAATATAGGTGAAGAAGAAATTATATAAATATTCGCACAAAGGCATATCTTCATCTACAGATATCTACTATATCATATCCCCTCCAGTTTTCATTACAGTTAACCGTCTCTATCAACTCAAAGCAAAGTATGTAGAGTTATTTATCATTATTGTAAAGGGCGCAAATTTTTCCTATATACTTATTAAATTTATTATTTTCTATAATATTGATTATTAAATATTTTTTCATAAAAATTTAAGAAGTTATATTTATAGTCAAATCAAAATAGTACATGCCTAATGCGCATGCGTAAAATTGAAACGTTTAATATTTCACAATAAAGCAGAAAGAATCCTCAAAATATTAGTGTATTCACTTTTAATTTGATTTTTATTATAAACAAAAAAATGATATATTTACATATATAAATATTTACAGAAACAAGTTTATAATAGTATTTATTTATGTAAAATTAAGTTTCGAAATTATATGTTAATTTTAGGATAAAAGTCTATAATATTTTTATTCTTACCAATATAAATAAATTCTATAGAATTCAGGGTACTATAAATATTAGTAAGGTTTTTACTAAATTTGCCAAAAACTATTTATTAATTTTAAAAGCCATTATATTATATGATTATAATCAAAGTAAGTTATTAATATATTAATTGATGATTCAAGTATTTTTAAGAGAATGTAGTTATCATTTGCTTATTATCACAAATGAAACCATTTCAATTTATTTATTTAAGTTCTATGTAGTTAAAAAATATTACTTTCATGAAATTTATATGTTCTACATCAAAATTTTATCGTACAGTATTATTTACAAGCGATTTTATTAGCAAATCGAATAAAATGTTAATATAGGCATTTATATTCACAATACACAGTTTATTTAACAATAAGAATTTTGAATCTTTTCTCGTTATTTTTGCGAAATGATATCTTGTAACTCTTACATAAAATCATTACATGTCCTTTGCCTAATACCGTAAACGAACGTTTTTACAAAATTTATTATGAGTGTAGGTATTTGATAAAAATTATATTATTGCAATTATATACGTTCTCAATTAACGAGTATTTCAATTGAAATAAATTATTGGCTATCATTAAAACTTGTGTATCAAAAAAATTTTTTAAATACAAGACTATATTTGCAAAAATTATGTAAAAAATATGAATTCTTGGAGCGAATTAACTAATCATATTTGCTGTCTTAACACTTTTTTCTTCAAAGTGATATATAAATCTAATTTAAGAATAAATCTATTTTTAATAAAGATTTTTAATCATTAATTTAAATCAATAAAAAGAAAATTATGTATTATATTTTTCTCATTAATAGAAATATAAAATTGTCGATTCACATAATTTGCTTTTAATGCTAATTAATATTTTATGATATTTTTAGATTATTTATTAAAAATGGAGCGTATATTGAAATAAAAGTCTTAAAATCAAAAAAAGAGTTTATTTTGTTATATAGAAAGTTTTACTGCTGTTTAATTATTACTTAATTGTGATATTAAAAATTTTTAATATTTATTTATGTTTAGTAAATTTGTATATTGGTAAAAGTATTCAAAACAAATCGCTAAAATTATATTATTAATACACATATTTCATAAACATTTTGAGATCTATGCAGATCCATTAGTATTTATTATTTATGTAATTAAAACTTTTATTAATTTATTCTTTTGTTATTAAATAACCTTACAACTATATATGTACAATAATTTTTTTGAATTTACTAAATTAAAGATAAAATAAAAATTCACTTTTATTAATGTACTCTAATAAGAATTTCAGTTCAAATATATGTTAAAGCGTTTTTACTTCGATTATAACTTTTATATGAATATTAATTAAAGTTTTGATATTCAAATGAATAATTGAACGCGACCAAATTTTATGTAATAAATGTTCAAATTGTATAAAAAATTATATTTAAATCTAATTACACTTGCCTGCATAAGACGCGTTCTTGCATAAAGCTTAAATGCTTTTGTGGATATTATATTAAATAAATTGTCGTATCATTTTTATTTAAACTTGAACATAAATATAAATTAATACTTTATTGTAGTGCTTAAAAATATTTAAGAAATTACGTTTGACTTGAAAAGTATTCATGTATTTGAAATATCTGCATTATTAATATTAATAAATATTCTATGGTATATTTAACTAAAGTGAATTTATTTACACGCGATAGCTAATTAAAATGAATCGTAATTGCGTTATTATTATTCTTATAATAACTAACCAAAAAATAGCTCATACATACTAAGAAATAAATAATTAATAATAAGAAAAAAACATTAATTGAATTTTAGAAACCAAAAGCTAATGTGTATCAAGCAAAATACCAAATTAAAAAACGAAATATTTAATAAAGGTTACTTCAAGAAAAAATGGATAAGTATTGAATAATTGTTAGTGATTTTATAAATAATTCCAAAATCACAACTACATATAATACTTATCATAATGCAAAAGATGCAATCTTGTAATTTAAAAATCGTTTGCCAAAAAAAACCACGTTCATGGATACAAATTTTTTAAAAATATTTCGTCCAATTTACTTATTATTCTTAATTTCAGCCATAATTGTTATACTGATGTTTAAATATGTAGGTTTCAGAGAAAGGCAAGACTAAAATATCGGCGAGAAAGTAAAATTAAAAGAAAATAAATTTTAAGAATAAATAAATAAACACATTTTTTAAATAAGTCATGTATTAATTATAGATCGTATCGATTTACATTTTGCATCTGAACAAAATATGAATAATTCGCTAGTTAAAGGACGTCTGCTCAAAAGGAAAAACTGTTCGTTATGTTACAATAAAAAATCTGTTAAAAAAGTTTTTTCACTGCTCCGTGTCGTATTAATTGGAGGCTTTGCAGATAAATCGCAAGGGAATCGCTTCGCTTCGCTTAGACATCTGTGTAATAGCCTAAGCAAAAAACACTTTGCTGAGAGTAACAACATTCCCATCTACAAAATAAGTCAACTTCCAAGAGTCTGACACGGACCTAACGGTAAGAATAAAGTTTATACGATAGTAGAATACAAGCTTTATTCTCTACATTTAATTTAGTTTGATATAATATAACAGGCGTGCCCTCATCACTGTCCAAAATCTGAATCTGCACATCTATGAATCTACACAACAATTTGCTTCGGTCTCAATTCACACTCATTATTTTATTCGACGTGTTTATTAAATTACGTATTTTATTAAATTAATTATGCATAACGAACGTGATACTCTTCTTTATCCTTTTTATACTTTTTTGTATGTCACTAGTACTAAACCGGACAAATAATTATATATCTGGATTTTAAAAGAAAATATAAAGAAACTACAAAAGTAAAATAGTAAAATAAGCACAAACATTCATTTAACAATATAAAAATAAAATTATATTTGAAATTATATTTTAATTATATATATATATTTTTTTTAGTTTTAGTTTTGAATTACATACATGCACTTTTGGTAAATTTCAACTGTGTAATTCAAAAATGTAATTATGTCAAGAATGTTTTACAATGAAAATTCATAAAAAGCCACTCGAGGCAAATTTATGAAAAAAGAATATTAATCATAGTTTTTCACTTCGCGATTAAGAAATTTAGTTCATGCACATTTTACTTATTTTTATTTATTAATTTCGTTAAATTTCTCTTTTGCTACCTGCACGCTCCTCGATTCTTGATATACTTTCGCATCATTAGAAAGTATTCTTGAGCTTAGGAACTACTTGGCAGCAACCATCATGATGTGAGTAACTCATACAGACAAATACGTTCTACTTTTATCTTTGCTCTTATATCCTAGGTGTTTTTTTCGTTTTTATATTCAGTTTCATGTTTCGTGTTCTTGTTCTTCCATCTTCTGCATTTATTTCTTTCCTTGAATGGATAACAATTTTTGTGTGTTGCACGCAAAAATATGAATTCCGATCAAAAAAAGACAAAATTGTCTTTAGCTCAGAAATTAAAATGGTATACAACGCTCCTGTTTTTCTCTCTGACGACGTCAGAATTATTACAGAGACCATCAGAAAAAGTTTAAATTACGATCTTGTTCTAACGTCAGCTTATTCTAACGTCATGATCAGCGTCATATAATGACGGAAGGAAAGAGATTGAGAGATATATAAAAAATAATATTTTTTTAAATCTTAAGGACGAAATTAAGATTTGCATTTCGATTAGTGTGAAGAAGTTTTGTTTTTTTTTTCTTTATGGACTATTCTCAAACAATTTTAGCGTTTTCCATTATTATAATTTAATCCTCGAATTGGTTGTTTAAATGTAGTTGCTGATTGTTGTTGAACTTGATACGCTATAGGATGAATTTTAAATCCATATAACCTGTAATGGAAACATAAGTTAGTATTCGAATCTAAAAATTAAAATACATCTGCAAATAATACGATATGTTGTTTTTGGAGTACAGAATTTTATATAATGTAATTTAATGTAAGTCTATTAGTGTTCTATTTGTAAATAATAATTTTCTATATAAGTAATACAAATGGTTTGAGATAGCATCACTATTTAAATTAATATTTATATTAAATTTACCTTATTACATAGATGTAGAATCACATTAAACAAAAATAAAAACTAAAAACTGTTTAATATTTACATAATTATGAACTGTATCACCGTTACAAATTAATGACTAAATAGCCAATAATTTTTTATCTACATAGAATTTTAATTCCTCATCTCGGAATCATCAACTCAATTGTCATTGCATTCTTAAAATAGAAATCTCAATGTTACATTTATTATATCAATATAGTCGTTTACTCTTAATCATCGATTAAAAATTAAATCAATAGTTACGTCTTTCGGTAAATGCATAATATATCTTACTAGTATTGCAATTAATATGATGGAATAACATAGCACGGAATAATAAATTAACAAATTAGAATAAAATGTGAAGTATCGAACGAGCTTTTCTTATACCTAGGTACAAATTGAGTTGATGCACGCTTTGGTCTGTATTCTGGATGAACCATGAAGAGCATGTGTGGGAACCCTGTTCCAAAATATGCACCATCGGTATGATGATGTCGCGAGCTTTTAGGTGTATAAACATCCATACATTTTGGACAATAACATTTAACCATAGCTTCGCCAGGCAAATCACTTAATCCCAATGGAAGCATAGGCTCTGATTCACAGTAAACTCTGGGACAATGACCAAAATCACCAGCCTGATATTTCTCTATCATTTGAGCAATTCCTCGATTTGTTAGAATGTAACGAGCATGAATAAGTCCATATAGCATTTCCGATGCCTGTTCTATAAGATCCGACTGGTTAGGATTATCATCCAAATCTTCATCTGCAAAATATACAAATTAAGTATACAATTTATATAATTGTATGACAACACACTCTACCCTTTATTTTGAATAATTATTAGAGGAATTTGTAAAATGACGAAATATTTTGTTACACTAATGCTTTTTTTTTTTAACGAAATTATATCAATTGCTTGAAATTGATATTAATAGAACAAATTAATTTTATTATAAAATGCCTTAACGAATTAATGAATTTGCAAATGCTTTAGTAAGACATTTATTGGTGGGCTTTGAGAATTCTCTTTGATCGAACTATTTGACTTTTAGCGTAATGATCATAAATATCTTAACCTTATTTAAGGTTTATTATTTTTGATCGATGGTAGAGCAAATATTTACTAAGCTATGCTATGTATTAAAAAATATTCCAACGATATAGACTACATTAAACATAATTTTGAAAGCTTGCCTAACTCAATTTTATTGAATGATTGCATGTTTTATCAAAATATTACATACCAGGCTCCAGATCAAGAATCATGTCTAATGCCTGACGATAATGTGGTACTTGCTCATTAAGTCCTGTTAAGTTAAATTTATCTTGAATATAATCTTCGTCGACCTGTAAAAGAAATTAATTCTTATGGCCTGGCACACAAAGTATTATAGCGTGCAGTGATGATCGAATCAACTTATTCGATGATTTAACTAAATGACAAAATAGTACTCACCTCGCAGAAGAATTCATTGCCCTTAAGACCGCAGAACCATGAAATCCACGAGACTTCCTCCGAGCTGCTCATTTTACTATTTGAAAAACAAGTTAATTATACACAACTTACAGCTTTACAATTTCGAATAGAAAAAAATGCTACTCTGATTCGGCAAAACGGATGGACGTACGGACTGACTAGTGCTCTAGTAATGCTGCTCTGTCTACGTATGAAAAGCGTCTCGTACGAAATTACGAGAATACGCGTTTGCCTGTGTGAGATGTAAAGAGAAAGAGAGAGAGTGAGAGAGTGAGAGAGTGAGAGAGAGAGAGAGAGAGAGGCAGACAGACAGATAAATAGACTGTTTGATAGAGAGACAGACGAGCAAGTAGGCAGGCGGGCAAACAGAGACAGACAGACAGACAGACAGACAGACAGACAGACAGGCAGATAGATAGATAGATAGATAGATATATAGATAGATAGATATGCAGACAGATAGATAGAGAGACAGACAGACAGACAGACAAATAGAGCGTCAAAGAGTCCACGAGGTCGTCGCACGATGACCACGTGAACTTGCCTCGTGGCTAAGAACGTCCGCAAAAGATCCGAAATCACGCCGAGCAATGTGCTGCAATACACAGAGAGCAGTGGCTTTCCTCGAAGGTGGGGCGCGGGAGGCGTAGGCGTAGTTGGAAGGGGAGAGTGCGGATGATCGACGACGAAGTCCGTACGAAGGCAAGAACGCGCGCGCGACTACGCGAAATAGAGATGTATAGGCAAACAGAGCAAGAATGAGAGAGAAAGAAGGAGAGAATGAGTGAGAAAGCCTGTGTGTTTGTGTGTGTTTGTTGCGTGTGCGTGTGCGAAACCATGAAGAAGCGCGTGAAAGAGGGGGAGAGAGCGAAAAATGCCTTCGAATAACCTGGAGCACTCAGCACGAGATAAGAGCACGACACGAGGCTCGAGCTATGGGAGCCAGTAGAGACTTCGTGGGTCAAGGTCGAGCTGCGTGAAGCTTTAACCCGATGAAGCAGGTTGGATTGACCGAGGGAAGCTATGTTTATAGGCCGCGAGAACGAGCTGTCGAGGTACACCGAAGAAACTCCCCACGACGAGTTAGTGTAAAAGGGTCGACGGAGAGAAGTACGTAAACGAATGTCGGTGGAGAGTGACATACGGAGCTATGGAATTGCACGCACGAGGTCCCACCAGATTCAGCAGCGGCTCGATCACCCTGGAAGCGGATCCGACGTTCGTCCACTCCCTCGGATATCGGCACTTCTCTCAACCGTCGGCGTTCTTGAGACGCGGTCCTCTACCTTTCTCGTTTTCTCTCTCGCACACTCTCACTCTCTCACTATTTCCGTCTTTCTTTCACACTCGTTCCTCGCGATCGGCCTGCAAGATGCCCGACAACTTGCAACGGTAGCTGCTGCAGCGGCGCGGCGGCGGCGGCGGCGGCGGCGGCGGCGGCAGTGGTGGCGGCGGCGGTAACGGTGGCGGCGGCGGCGGCGGCGGTGGTGGTGTCGGCGGCAGCAGCAGTAGCACCGCGCGCTACACTAAAGGCGGCGGCGCCTTCGTAACGAAGATGGAGTCTTCGTTATCTCGGAGTTGCACGGGTGGAGTACTCGCTGGGGGTGATGTGGAAAGAAAAAAAAAAGAAAAAAAAAACGGGCACATCGGCGATTCAAGGGGCTTACCTCTTGGTGCCGCGATTAGTCACGCTCGCTCACTTTCCTATTAGCTCACTCTTATTCGGAGAAGCAGGACGGGCCGCGGGTGGCGCCACGGTCACGATGATCACGATGATCACAATGATCACGACGACCACGACGACGCTAATGCCAACGACAACGAGAACGCCAACAACACCGTGACCGCCGCCGCCGCCGCCGCCGCCGCCGCCAACAACAACAACAACAACAACAACAACGCGACGACGACGACAAGACTATGGTAACGAGATGGAACGAGGGGGAGGGGATGGCGGGGCGGGGCGGGGAGGTGGAGGTGGAGGTGGAGGTTGGTGCCGAGAACAAACGTGGCTCGTGCCATTCGCCCACTACAGCGACACCGGAACCGATTGTTTACGTTGTCAAGTGCGCGAATCTCGAGACCCTCACTGCCGTTGACGTCGCCGAATTCTCGGTGACATTGTCCTTACGACTTCCCGGCAATGATTTTTACTCGCTTTATTAACTACCGATGCTTCGCTCGAGTTTCCCGAAGAGTAGTGGCTGGCCCCCTATTGCCTTATCGGGCTTTCGACGATCTCCTCGACGCAATATACCATTATCGGTTAGACTATTTAGCACTTGACCCAGGGCTCTCGAGCAAGTACCAAGTTACCAAACTCTCATCGACAATTCGCTCGTCGTCTCCTGTAACAGTTGAGTAGACATAGTCGATAAGAGGGACGTTTGAACGTTAATTAAATGGACGACGTTCGTAGCAAAGTTTTCGATAACGCAGATGCTCAATTGCAAACCCAAGGAATTTGGTGAGCGCGAGTGCGTGCATCTGAATTTTTATGTTATTTCTGTATAGATAGATTGTACGCATTCGATTGGAGTGCCGTTGATGGTTGCAGAGGGAAATTTGCCGAGAATATATTTTCGTTCGCTCTTACCTGAACGAGAAAACCCAAAGCAATTTATCCAATTTCAACGAAGGCTCTCTGCGTATCTCGGGTCAGCAAGCTTAAGATTTGCCGACATAAATTTTATTTAATGCGAACGATCTTTTACGACACTGTTGTATATATAAAAAAAAATAAATCACAACTAGAGTAATTCATAAGATACAAATTTCGTAAAGTTCAACTGTCGTCACTAGGTGGCGAATCTGTCAACTAACGTTCACATGATCGTAAGCACTTCGGGCTTTCATAACGCCTAGCTATTTATATCTTGATTACCGTTACTTCTTTTTCAAGACGTGCATTATTGTTTTTCGTCAATTTATATTCCATCGGCAATTGTGAAACGTATCAAGCGTAAGCTTTCGTGATACTCCATGATTTAAATCTTATAATTACGTTAAATAATTTGATTTGTTATAAATGCTCTATATAATAAATGTTATGCGTACATTTTTTATGCCATTAATATCATAATGGCGGCATTTTCGAATATGCATTTTTTATTTATTCGTGCCATTTTCGTTATTTAATATTATTTTCACTTGTATTAAATTAATAGTTAATAATGGTCTAGTAAGAAGAATTTCATTGACAATTGGAAGAACAATTTTTTATACACCCTGTAGACAATCTGTCTTTCTTGTTATAAATGGAAAATTATTAATAAAAAAAATACGTTAGTTCATATAGAAGGCCTTATATGAAAATAAAAATTTTAATTAAATTCGTTATCAATTACAATTGTTGTTATTACGTTACATTAACAATTGATTGTTAATTTGTAACGTATCGTATCGTATAACGTAAGAAATTGGCTTGAAACATGTATAATTACTTCGTAATTTATTTAATAATAAAGTTTAATATTTATCTGACGATTAATATTTAATTAATTTATTAATATTTTTATTAATTTTTTCTATTTTACTAATAATTACGTGGAAATTAATTACGTACGGATTCTATGTCTCTTTGGCAATTATTTATTATTAAAGATAAAATTCGATAAGACAACGCTGTACGATCGATCTTACAATTTTTCTTTTTTCATTATTTTATATGGTGCATTAGTTTCTAATTTAAGGAAACTGGTAGTGTTGTACGTATCCGCATATTATGTAATATGCATTCAAGTTAAGTCAAACATAGCCTTTATTTAATTAAAAAGCATTAATAAGCCCCTCGGATCATACATATTATTATATAAGCCAATTTGTTTTAGATTTTACTTTCCTTATACTATTCTGTTCTCGTTATTATCCCCCCAAATACAATGCAATTCATTTTATAATATTTTATTATTTAATTATTGTACCATTGAGCTTAACTACTGTCTACAGAAAACAAAATTATACGGAATAAAATTTTCAATATAAGTGTTTATCTACATAACTGTTAATTACGAATACTCAATTTTGATAACATTTTGATAAATTTTTCCTTTGATTACGCAATCATCTATTAATTGTAGATTTTGACCTTTACAAAATTGTATTGCTTCACATTTCTTGGTCATGCTGTGAAATAACGAGCACACAATACTTTGTTTTCATTTATATGATATTTCGTGCAACATATTTCATTTAACGAATTAACATTACTTAATTGTCAATGGTAGAGGAAATAGAAAGTTATTTAAAATAATTCTAATTTCCTGAAATTGTCCATCGAATCTTAAAATCTAATTAAACGTAAAGATCATAAGCATAGAGATTTTTGCTTATGTTATATTGATGATAAATATTCGATTTGGAATGATATTCTTAGAAAATTCAAATCCTCCCAAGTAAACAATAAACAAACTGTATATCCAATAATTAATTTTTATATTCGCATATTATTTCAATACTTTCTAAGCTATATTCTTTTTTCTTTTGAGAATGCCTTTAAGTAGATACTTTTTGTAATTATTTTTTATCATTTCATAATTTTATGTACCATATATGGAGAAAAATAAATGTAAAATATAAGGTTTAGTCCTCGGAATAATTATTTACCGTTATTGAATCAATAATTTACAATATAATTTCAATGAAGCACTTAAAGTAGTTTTAAAGTAGCTTTATCTATTTAAAATATTTGCAGTCTACATTCACTCTTGATCTGTGTATGAAATTATTTTATTAACCTAATTTTTCAACTTTTAACTTTTTTTTGTTAAGTCTTTCGTTCTTTCGTTCTTTCAACGTTCAAAGATTCATACATCAATGACAATAACGCCCGACAAATATTGATTTATACTGAATTTTTTTAATTATTTACAATTTTTAACATTTTACACAAATACTGTGTTAACTTTATTTAATACATTTTTGAAAAATAATAATTTACTTGCACGCCATTTATTCTACGTGATTGTTATTCATTGTTTTGAAAGTGATAGCTTATTAAATACAAATGTAAGTGTTTTGCAGTTGTCCAATTCGTATTTAAGAATATCAAAAGCGTAATCGTAATCTTAATTACTAATACAACTTTTTAATTAATTTAATACAATATAAATTTACAATCGTATTACACAAATTAATTTTGTTTAAATAATCAATGATGCAAAATCAATACATGATATCATTATAATTATTTGCCAATCGTATTATGATGCACTGAAAATCATCGGTTATAAGGTTTAACCATTATATCGAATAAAATCTTAACCACAAATTAATTATTAAATTTCAAAATATAAAATATCTTTGTTAAATTTTAGTAAAGTGTACATTTCCGAGGAAGTTAATCTCGAACGGCTTGATCAATTAAATTTTTATACTATGTATTACAATAGTATTATACTAAAAAAAAAATAAATAAATTAAATAATCATGTCACGAGAAGCATACTCATTTATAAAATTAAGTATTACTTAATAGTTAATAACAAAGTTCGATAATTTAATTAAAATTCAATAATGTTGAAAAATTTCTATCGAAGGATTCTTTAATTGAATATAATTATTAATTATGCATATTATTTATATAATTATATGTGTCCATATTCTATGTGTCATCTCTCTATTTTACTCTAAAACATTACTCTTTATATATATATATATATTTTTTTTTTCGAATTGTTTATCATGTATTTACATTAATATAACGGTGGTATGTATATCATAATTTTGGAAAAAATAATGTTTTTATTTACTCTGTTGGTAATTAGTATTATTAAAATTTTAATTTTGAAATTTTCATATTTATTTGAATTCTTTACCTATAATTGATTATGGGGATTATAAATTAGTATTAAACTTACTTACGATAGAGCGTTTTTCAAAAACAGTGTAGAATAAAATTACTTATACACATATATTTAAAATGTAGAAAAGCAGTTTTAAAAATGTGAATTGCTTCTTTAAAATATTGGTGTATTTTTATGAGATTGTAAAATAAAGTTTTTGAAAAGTTTTAAGTGCAAAAAGCTACAAAATATATTACAGTTTTATAAATTTATAGATTGTGTATAGTATGATATATTTTATATTGTATAATTGATATATTTGACGAAGCATGAAAAGATTTATTCAATTAGACTATTAACGGGATTTTTTTATGCAAATAAATAAGATAAATAAACATAAACGCGCGTGCGACCATGAAGGTGTCGTGCGTGTGCGCGCGTGTATGCGAGGTGGTAGGGTTTTATATAAAAGATCCAAGCATCTTTTATTTCACTCCACGTATCTAAAGTTATCGATTCTTCTTCATTTTTGTGCATCGTTGTTTTATATTATCAATAAATTAATTCAATATATAAACGATGAAAATTATTTTGTATTATAATTTAATTAATTAATCGATCGAGTGGTTGTGGATCTAGAAATATTGATGAATAATAATTATACGTCAATTTATTTCTCTCTTTGCCGACTTCATTCGCTTGAGATAAAGTTAAGCGATTCGTACAAATATTCGAAAAACATAGATACAATAAATAATAAATTTTTTAAATAACAATTTTTTTTGCGCTATATTGTCGTAACAATAATATTAATCGGAATTAACGGATTTTCAAAGGCTCTTATATATCAAAAGTGTTAACAGTTTATTGTGAAAAACTGAAAAACGAGAGCTATTATCGAAATGAAAATGTCGGAAGTTCTAATTAAGCTGAAATGAAGAAAAGTCGAATCGTTCCTTATTATAGCGATCAAATTTTATTAATGGATATGGATCACGTCTACACGAATTAATCATACATTTCGTGAACTCGTATCATTAAAATGATTTATGCATAAGCCTTGCAGCGATGTGTGCGCGCGCTCGCATATATCCACACGCGCCACAATCTGCTGTTCATTACAACGTTTGCATTGTAATAGGATTTGTTTGTCTTACTTACATGTCCACCACGTGCTTCGCGAAGCCTTTGTCCTTGATCGTTAATATTTCCAGACAGGAGTACGAGAAAGCAGATCGGCTTACGAAAGTGAAGAAACCAACTACCCCGATACACAAGGTTTCTTAAGCTCGAGCGTACGAATGCTTTCTAAAATTGTATTTGCAATTATTAAGCAATTTGAGATCGATTGAGCAAGGAATAAATGATGATAATTGCAAGGCCCTGAGGTAGACTTAAGAGAAAAGAAAAGAAGGGAAATAAGCATCGGTGCGCAAGTGATTGCAGTTGAGAATAGGAATAGTATCGATGACGTGTTGGCGGGGTGGGGGTGGGGGTGGGGCATGAATTAATTATTGCTAAAAAAATTGAAGGAAGCTCCGGAATAGGCGTCTGGGGGTGAGGGAGGGTAGACAAGTGCTCGAGGCTTACCGCGGCACATTGTTGCACGACATTCGTGAAAAAATCTCGGCGAGCTCCAAAAGTTCGCTCTCGGCGTTCCCATTATCAACGCTCAAATAATTAATCATCGGCGGGATTTTGGCGCTCATTCCCTATGAAAGTTGCTAAGGCCATTCGCTAGATGGCTATTGTTCTCGATATAAAGACTAACCTAAGCTGAGTGAAAAACTATATCGAAGTTGTCGTACGTCCAAATTGGAAAAGCTCGGGTAGTAGTAGTACCTTCGACGAGCGAGCGCCGTTGAGTTGATAATTTGTTTTACGACGGTGGGTGCGTGTGTTTTTCGCGGTGATAATTGTCGCGCGGAGCCACCGAGAGAGAGAGAGAGAGAGAGAGAGAGAGGGAGAAAGAACGAAGAAGGAGGAAGAGGCAGTGGCGGAGGAGCAGGAGCAGGAGGAGGGGCGGAGGAGGAGGAGGAGGAAGCAGAAGCCTCAGACTTATCGTGCAAAAGTGCGACCCCGTCTTCACAGAGCAACGATTCTTTCGCTCCTCGAGGTAATGAGAGGCTGCGGGTCTTGGCGTAAAAACTCGCTGTCCGAAGGCCTGTTATGCGATGGGCCGAAGAAGGCGCGCGCGCGAGCAACTCGACGAGTAAAGCAAAACGAGGAGCAGAGCAATAGATAGGGATAGACATAGAGACAGAGAGACAGAGAGACAGAGAGACAGAGAGACAGAGAGACAGAGAGACAGAGAGACAGAGAGACAGAGAGACAGAGAGACAGAGAGACAGAGAGACAGAGAGACAGAGAGACATGCGTGCGTCGGATGTGGCGGGGTATGCGGAGCTTAACGGGGCGGGCGAGAGAACGAGATTGTCGCGGTGAGGAGTGGGGTAGAGGGATATGCGGTGCAGCAGCACCAAGTGCGCTAGGCTAGAACGGAGCTCGCGTGCGGGATCTCGAAGCTTTACCTTGCTCCAGCCGTGCTCGACGACAATAATAGACTTGGCTGGAACCTGCCTCTTCTCTGCGCCTCGCGCGAGCCGATTAAATAAATAGGATTGGCCATCGAGCCAGAGACGGCCGAGCTTCACCTAACCTTTGAACGTTATTCAATGTGCGCAATTCGCTACGTCCAACATTTTACGCCCGTATCGCGCCTTTTCTCTTTTCTCGACGCGACGAACGTTCGATCGTTCCTCCTTTGGCTAATACCGATGAGTGTTATGTCAAACTCGTCGCCCAGCACGATTTAGCCCGTTTGACGTCTCAAGAGGAATTCGCGTAATTTGATTAAAATTTCGTTTCCCAGTTGTTTTATCTCTGAAATATTTGGTACATCGCTTTACATTTTTATTGGTTACCACTGACACTACTGCTGCTGCTGTTGCTGCTGAAACTTCTGCCGAATCTGCTACTGCCGCTGCTGTCGTTGTCCATGCAGAGGAGTTCTTTCCTCATTGTAATTGCATTGAAAATTATTACGATTATGTTGTAATATTTTATTTTTACCCGAGATCGTTCGGTGCCCTGTTTCTCTCTCTTTTTTTTCGTTTTTTTTTCTTTTTCTTTTCCTTCATCTTTCTTGGCATCTGGTACATCCCACAGCCCGATATCTTCTTCGTAGTGTGAGATTCAGGGACTTTTATATTCTCGCGGAAAGTGATTTAGACACGCAAATAATGTTAATTAACAGTCACGTTTAATGTAAAATGTGATACACTTCGCTTTTAAACTGTTTAAGAGATTTCCTGCCAAGAGTCTTGTAAAGACAATTTCTATTTTCCATTTCAAGATAATGGAGGGACAGCAGTTCTGTTTACGTTGGCATAACTTCCAAAACACATTGCTTAGCTCGTTACCAAAGCTACTCGATGGAGGTTACTTAACCGACGTGACACTTAGCGCAGGTGGAAGGCACATTCATGCACATCGACTAATCCTGTCCGCATGTAGTTATTATTTCAAAGAGCTATTTAAGGTATGAATATAATCATTCGATATCATTGATATTGTCTTATAATTCAGGCGTTACTTTTAACGTGCAAGACTGTGATGCTTATAGGATTTGAATACACTCCAACATCCTGTGATTATTTTGCCTGGAATGGAATATGCTAATCTATGCGCTCTCGTTACATTTATGTACAATGGAGAAGTTAATATTTATCAAGAGCAGCTACCTGCATTGTTGGCAATGGCGGATACATTGCACGTTCGTGGCTTAGCGGATATTGCTGGGGTAAACCTTTACAATTATTACCATTCTTCCCTTTCATTTACCCATGCGATAAATATTAACAATCCCAGTTTTCTGTTTTATCTTTAATATTCTAAAAAGTACCTGTCCTCTAAATGAAATTTGTCAAATTAAAGTCCAATGCACGCTGCATGCTAATGATTTTTTAAGCTATGTTTTGTTTTACATATTTGCAAATGTAATTTCTCGTTTTTAAATGCCTTCACCTAGAAATTTTGCTGTTTTTTTTTTTTTTTTTTTTTTTTTTTTTTTTTTTTTTTTTTTTTTTTTAACAAAATTAAAACAAACGATTGTGTTGTTGTTTTGTTCAGGTGACTTAAGCACGCACATTCACTGTCATTCGCTCATTGAGCAATGATAATGAATGCTCAAACGATACCCATGAGATCAAGAATCGTTGTGTGTGTTGCAAGAAAGTGAGCAAGAACTAAACGCAAATGGATGAACCCCAAAATGGAATCCTATCCTACGAGTCGTAAAAATTGCTCGACAGGTACACGTAATGCTGTTGTTTTACTCGATACACTATCGTCATTTTGTTGACACAATAATGAAAATTTTACAAAGTGCATATTGATTAAAGACAAAATACAAATAAGGTTCATTTTGATGCAATAAAAGCTTTTGAATGAACTAAGAAATTTATACAATTTTGTTCTTGCTTTATTAGCACAAAGCTATATTTATAACTCAATTAATATTACTTTATTCATTTACCGTTTAAAAAATAATTTAAAATAAATATGCATTATTACTTAAGTTATAAAAGCTGTTAAGTAATGTGTATATACAGTTAATTGTATGTGAAAGTTTTACAATGTTTATACTTACTGATCTACAATGAAAAGAAACAAATAATTTATTAATTATTATCATTAATTAATTATAATATAATTAATTAATTATTATCAAATATTTAAATTTAATACATCACTGTAATCTAAAATAATACGTGTGTTCTCATATTTTCAGAAAGCATCCAGGTACGAAAATAATCCAACGGTAGATCCACCATCTTCGCTCGAAGAGAAAAATTTTCATTTAGTTGAAAAATTCGAATCGTCTACAAAAACCGATCCAAAGGAACACGAAGAAATCTTAACGCCTGAGCCCCACGAAGCAATGGAACCCATTGCTACAGACTTTCCTGCAGAAAGAGTCGAACGAAATCTCGAAATTGAATCTGAATCTAACAATGTTAGCGAACTTAATGATCTCCCATGTAGTGTTAAAACAAAACCTTATTATTCCATCAACGCTAAATTAAATCAGCGAGAAAAGAAATCAAACTTCAAAATTGATAGCGGACACTCGAGCAATATTCTGAAAGACGATTGCCAGAGTCCCCTTTTAGAAAATGTAAAACCATTGTTAACGGATACAAATTTCAAGTCTTTTCTCAGTGGCTCAACGACTAGTCGAGCTTCTCAAAGCTGTAACAAGACGAGCGTCACTTGTCTAATTTGTGGAAAACAGCTGAGTAATCAATATAATTTACGAGTTCATATGGAAACACATAGCAATAGCTCATACAGCTGCGCAGCTTGCTCGCATGTGTCTCGTTCTCGAGACGCATTAAGGAAGCACGTATCTTATCGACATCCTGTAAATTCTGCGCAAAAGAAAGCAAGATATAGTTCATCGAAGCCTTAGAATATGTAAAAAGACTTTGATTGCAGTGTAAAGTATTTTCATTAGAAAAGAATCCTTTCCACTGACACTGAAAACGTAACTTCAACAAATTTGAACGTTGTAAGAATAGAGGTCAACAAAGGTCATTTTGACTAGAAATGTTCACGGTGATAGTGAAATGACATTGCATAAAATGAGAAGAAGAAAAAAAATGGTGAATACATCTTACACTGTGGACAATTGACAAAATCCAGTATGTAGAACAACAATGTGATGTCAATGAAGAGATTTGAGGTTATGTTTGTAAGGAGAGGCGAACAAAAGTTCCTTAACGACCCCCTAGTGTTCATATTGTTATTGCTTGTTTGCTCAATTGTTATCGTTAATTTTTTTTAATAAGTCGGATCTCGTTTTAAAAATATTATTTTAATTGTGGATGGTTAAGAATTAATCTTGAAAGTTTAAATTTGCTATATTTCCATAGTTCATAAAATTGACAGCGATACAAAATTAGTTCAATTATTTCAATAAAAATTACGGATTTACAGTTCAACGAATAGATACAAAATTTAAGGTTTCAAACAAATGTTTTCAAATGTTTCAAAACAAAAATACAAATCCACACAGCTTATAAATTTAATTTTAAATATTTGAATTAAAATTTCATTGTTTTTGCTAATTAAATATTATAATAATTGTATATCGTGTATTGTATTAAAAAATAATATACAATGCAATTGAGAGCTAGGAATCAGTGAGAAATAAATAAAATGCATCTGTTGTTAATAAAGCTGTTCCTTGTAAAACAGATTTTTTTTTTTTCAGCATAATCAGATTTTTTCCACACGCCATATCTTTGTATTGCAGTCTTGACCGACAGAAATTACCGTTTCTTCGTCTAACCAAAGTAGCTGGGTAATTTGACTTTGTGAATGAGCATCTGCATAAAAATTTTACATACATATATACATATGCATATGCATACATACATACGTGCATACGCACACTCGCGCGCGCTTATATATCGCGCGTCTGTGTGTGCGTTTGCGCGCCTGTGTGTATATGCCATTGGGTAAAAATTATTAAGATTTTAATAAATACGATTGTCTTATTTTTTTAACGTACTTTTGATGATCGTATGTTTCGCGGGATTAGTAACACTCCAAATAATAATTGTCGTATCAAGACTTCCACTGGCTACCATTGAAGATGTTGGATTCCATGCTACACAATTCACCCTTGCATTATGGAAGCCCCATTCCTTATTGTGTGCCAACTAAATAAAACGTAAAAATTATTTTAATAATAATATTTGATGAAATAGTCTTGACTGCCAACGTTCACTTTTATAACTTTTCATGCAATAATTGAAATTCAAACGGCTATAATCTTTTGTATTCTTGTGGAAAAATTCATGCTCGACTGCAAATTATACCATTTTAGTTTACTCACTTTCTGCAATTTGTTTGTTATAAAGCATATAGAGAAGAGATAATGTTAGCATTAGTTTATGTCGTAATTGAAAGTTTGTTAGTACGTGGTGTATTAATCAATTATGATCGATTACCTTATATTCAGGAACCACGTAAAGGATAACTTTTCGATTTGCATCACAAGCAACTAAATACTTATTATCGGGACTATAAGAGGCATCGGTTATCGGGCCCAAATGTTCCAATTCCGTCTTTGATGTAAGATTAGTTCCATCAAGTTCATAAATGTAAACCTGCGCATAGTCGGTTATGCAATATAGTCTCGAATGAAATGTTTGAGTACAAAATCCTTATCTACCTTATTATCCGATGTTGATCCAACGGCAACGTCATTATTTTCTTGATTTATGGTCACACACGATGGATCGTAATCGACCGACAAACTCGAAACTTTCTTCCCGTCTATTGTAACAACAATCTGCAATAAAATCACTTGTGCTTTAAATCGATTATTAATTAGGCTCTCGTAATGGAAGATATGAGTCATCTAATCATGCACATGGTATAACATTGTAAATCATTATGTAAAGCTTTTTCGTTTTAAAGACAAGTGTCTAGGGGAATGAAAATTTGAAGGCAAAAGTGGAAAATCTCACCTGCTTCACAGCGGCAATAATGACTATATTGCCCTGAACGTCAAGGCCTTTTGGTTGCGAACCCAACCTCAATATCGATGTGTTTTCGTACGAGTTTGTTGCGATGTCAATTGTTCTTAGAGTGTCGTCAATTCCAGCGGTGTACACTAGGTCCGATGTTGCTTTCATTCCATTTATTTGATTGCCGTGGCCTTGGCCCTGAACGCGATCATTTTCCCCAGTGTCTGATTTCCAATTTGTTACGTACCCATCGTGGGAGCCCGTGTATATTGTACTTTTATCCTGACTTGTTGTCAATACTGTGATCGGCTTATTATGACCCTAAAACGAATAATTTATGAATGGAATAAAACTTGATCTGTCCATGATCGCGCATCTGGCATTTATTATTATTATATTACCTTCACTATCCTTAGGGGCTTCAGCGGATTATTAATATCGAGATAATTTATAAAGCCACTTAGTGAAACAGATAGTATGTGATTTCCTTGCCATAAACAGCTGACCTTGGTTCATCAAATATTCATAATAGGTTATTAAATTATTATTGTCAGTGATATCGTTTACAGAATCGTTTACTGTATAATCGAGCGATACGTACTTGCTGATCATCGACTGTAGCTCCCATAACAAATTCGTCAACAATGGTTCTCGTCTCAACATCCCACAATTTGCACGTTTTATCTCCGGATGCAGTCAAAAATTGAGTCCCATCTGGCTTCCAAGCGAGCTGAAATAAATAACGTTCCATTATAAAACCTGGAGGTTGAGAATTTAGCGCGTGGTCTCGGAGGCATTGGCAATGGTAGCTTACTCCGTAAACACCTCCTTGATGTGCCGGTGAGCCGACTTCTCCAACAAGTTCGGAACTCGTGCCGTCGTAAATGTAAACCTTACCGTCGAAACCTGCTGACGCAAACAGGTTGCCAGATGGCGAATAGCGGACTGCCTGCACGAAACGGGTGTGCTCTTGTTTAGTCATTCTACAAATGCAGAGAGAGAGAGAGAGAGAGAGAGAGAGAGAGAGAGAGAGAGAGAGAGAAAACAATTAAGACAATTTGAAATAGTTGTTTCGAGTTTTAAGTCAAATGGCATTTTATACGATATTATACTTGAATTTAAATGGAGGTCCTTCGAAAATAGCGATCGTATTATCTTCGCTTCCGGTTATAAGTCGAAAAGGTCTCGATGGTCGAAAGTCGCACGAATTTATTGGCTTACTCTGTCCGGAAATTTCTCCGACAGACGTGCCAGTCTCGGACATAAAAACATGCCCGAATCTGCAACGAAATCACGGTATTCACTACATACATTGTTCATTGCATTCCGCATGGTGCATAAAGCAAATTATCAAGAATATTTCCAACCTCTCTCGTCCCTCTCCAACGACAACCATTCGCTGATTATCGGGTGACCACGCGATATCTTTAATTGGGCCGCCGATTGGATGGAATTCATTTTTTAGAATATGTTCTTTATTCACAGTATCCCAAATCCTCACTTTACCAGACTGATCTGCACAAGCAAATGGCAAATTTTACGATTTTCATTCGAATTCACAGTGACAAATGTTTTCTTCGTTTACTCCACTTAAGCTCGATAATGAAATAATAAATTAACTTAATAATTTAACTCGATAATTAAATGTTAAATAGCTACTCGCCTCCAGACGCAATGTAAAAACCACTAGGAGAGTATTTGGCGACATTTACTGGACACGAATGTTCGGTATAAATATCCGAGATAGCAGGATTCTAAAAATAAATAAATAAAGACAATTTGACGATTATTAATATAAATAATGATAATTAACGATAAGATAAAGCGGAGATAACTTAGAGATAATAATAATAATAATAATAATAATAATAATAATAATAATAATAAAAAGGAATAAGGAATAAGGAATTTTTACTGGACGTATAATAATCACCTCGATATTCCGAATAATAACGCTATTCCCATTTGCGTATAAAAAATTCTTTCCCTTCGGATCTCCACCTAAAACTAATGGTTGGCCCCTCTGTGTGCGTGGCAGAGTTGCAAAAATGTACTCTGAAAAGCATTAAAATTTCATTTGTACATTATAAATTTTACTTAAAATAACCTTGTGCATTTAATTAATGGTTTTTTTTTTTTTTTTTTTTTTTTTTTTTTTTTTTTTTTTTTTGAAGAGAGCACAATTTAATTTAATTTAATTTTAAAGAGAACACAATTGTCAAATTGAATATTATATTTATTATTAATAACACCGTAATACTTTACATTGATATTCTAACTAATATTGTGGAGTATAATAGCGTATAAACAAAATTTGACAAATTATTAATTAGATCGTCTCAATAAGATTTTCTCTTAATTAGCCTTGGAGAGTCTAGAGGTACTCGAGCAAGAGTACCTAATGACAAACAATTTTAATTCGCTTTGTGTAATTAAAAACGTAAGAGCTATCAGTATAACAATCAGCATAAATCGTAATTCATAAAAATATCTTTATAATCCTTACAGTGATCGTTGCTCCTTTAATCAGTCAACTATATGATACAGTAATCTTATCAACGTCATTATTATTAGATTGTTGGCGTGACGATCTCTACGTTCGCAAAGGTCGATATAATGAATTGGCAATTAATCACTAAGACCGACACCCGAAACAACAGGTAGCGAATAAATGGGCTTTCATTTTCACATTATTACGTAATTTTGGAGCCAGGACATTAGATGGATCTCGCGCGAACGGATCGTGACTTATTGGGCGTCCGGCAAAGTAAACCGAACATTTCAAAAGTGAAAAACAACAACAACAACATCGTAGCATCCATCAGCGGAAAATTTCTTCTTGGCACAAGACCAGAATGACATATCCCGACCTATTTTCGTACCTCCATAGACATCTATGATTAGGATTCTGTCACGATCTTATGCGCTTGGTCTACTAACGATATCTCACGCACTCTCTCTCTCTCTCTCTCTCTCTCTCTCTCTCTCACTCTCTCAATCTCTCAATCTCTCGATTATTGAATCAACTCAAGTATTGGACGAGTTGCGTGAGCAATTGATCCAAAGTTCTTTTTTCAAAATTATAACGCTACCTCTTTGCAAGGTTTTAACATTTTTCGACGCAATAACGTGGGAAATGGTCGTTTGCGTTTCGCACATCTGTCGTCGTGCGTATTTTGCACGGGTCAACGTGGCGTGAGCGAGCGAGCATTCGCAGATGCGAGAAACGGCATAGATTTTTCTAAATTAAAACCGTATCCAATTTCCTTTAAACGAACTGTTTTTGGCAAGATGGATTGAAATACAAGACGGCGATACAACTTAAGAGCTACCTTGATCGAACATATAAGCAATTGTGAGGTACTTTTTGCATAATGATAAATAAGTTGCAATTAAGGATTTCGAGGGCGAAGGTAAAAGAGGACTGTGCTTATTAACGGTGTAAAGGTATCGTTAAGGTATCGTTAAGGTATCGTTCAGGTATCGTTCAGGTATCGTTAGTTAAAAATAACGTGAATTATTTGTAATTCACGTCTTTTTGGATATATAAACACATCATAGTGTAGGAGAGATTAAGAAAGAAAATTGTCCGGAATCAAGAAGAGACTCCGAATAATCTAAAACAAGGCCTTTCTTTAATGAATTTAAATAACTCGCGGGGCAGTCGGTTTATTTATATTGGAAATCAAAACAAATATAAACAACCAGATTCGAGTAAATTACACCATGGTTAAAGGGGGACAAGTTGGGCTGGTGGGGATGGAAGTCGGCCACGGTGGCTGCGATGGTGGTGGTGGTGGTGGTGGTGGTGGTGGTGGTGATGGCTGTGGTAGAGGTGACGGTGGCGACGGCGGGGTAGGGGTACGGTGGGCGGAATTGGAGAGGGGAGGTTGAGGTGCGCGCGCGCGTGTGTGTGGGGGGAGGGGCTGAGTGGAAGAGGAGTAGAGAAGAAGATAAGGAAGCAAAGAGATTGGGGTCCGTCCGCTGATTGTCACAAAGAAAGAAAAGAAGAAAATCGGGGGGCCGGCTGAGGTGGTGCGCGGC